ATAAGGAAGCTATTAACTTTAATTTAATAAACACTGTGATGTTTCTAATTTCATGCGAGCCTTGCATAACCTTTCTTCTCTTTTATGCCATTGATCACGCGTTCGATTTTCCTATGGGTATTCGGTTATAGGTCTGGGTGTTCAAATAGCAGTGTTAGTTGAATGCGAGTTTCACCAGATGGGTTCAAGGCTATCTTCCCATTTTACGAAGGCCATTTGATGTCGGTGCCTTCTTTGGTGGGTTTGGAAAGGATATAAGTAGTCATTCTCCCGTTTTGATGTCTACTAACCGGCAGTTGAAATTATGTTCTGAAGGTGTTATTTGCTTAGATTCTCGAATGAATATACCTGCTTCACCAAATACTCACATTTATTTACCATGCACAATTTCATTGCTTCTCATGCAGGCACAAAATGAAGTACAGAAGACCACGGAGAATGGGATGGGGTGGGGGGGAATCAAAGAATATCTGGGCGTTAAAAAAGGCGTATGAAATTTTAGATTTAGTTCAGTTTACTGAATGCATTACTACCTGCTCCATTTAAAAATGCCCGATTTCCAATTTCTGAAAGTCACTTCTAGATCGTGTGTGTTCATATTCGCAATGTCCCGAGTTTTTTATCTAGTTTCCCTAATCAAGTTGATGATGAGGCCATTTCGTGAAATGCGTCTGTCTCGTTTCGCTTAGACCAGGCAGTTGGTACCAATCGAGATAACTTTAACACATCGAAATTCTTCCGTCTTAATTTACGCCCTTGATTTTTAACCAAAATCAGTCTATTTTCTATCTTGAATCAGAAATTTTCTATGAACTTTGGTTAATTATTGAGTACTCAAGTTTCGAATTTGCACCTATGATAGGATATTTAAAAGTGCTATATTTTGTGTTGATGTCGTGTACTTTAAGGACTTTTTGCGGGTAGAATCAACTCACTTTTTCTACTATGAACAGTATGAAAGCTGCAGTTTTCAAAAAGACAATGATTGATCAGTTACAATGATATTCAACTTGTCGGGTTAATATCAATATTGGTGTTTCTAAAAGGGTAGGCATTGGAGGTCGGAGGGGTAAATGCAAACAAATTTGTGAATATGGGGTGTGCAATAGACTTACCTCCACGTGGTGCACCCTGGGCACCGTATACTCATACAGCAAATAAGTCTGTAAATCGGCAGTTGATTTCTGACTTCAAGCTACCATGACCCCACTCTATGTCATATTTCACCACTTCCACAGTACTCCTCTTACCTTTTCTCAACCCTCGTGCTTGTCTGTCTCTTTTACATTTGTGAATCACTCTTCTTCCCCCACCCCTCTCGAATTTTTTCCACTTTGATGTCTCTTCCCCTCTGTGAAGCCTGAAGTCAACTAAATGGCTAATGATAACTATCAAAACGCCAGCCATTTGAAATAAATAAATAAAAGTTTTGACTATTTATGGCAGAATGAGTCAGCCTTAGAAGAAATTACTCCTGTAACCAAGGCAATCTAAAGGGTTGTCGGCAGCAGGTGGGTGGTATGTAGGAGTAGTCCAGGGACAATACATTAACTAATAACTGAATACCAGTTACAGTAGTCAGAGGATATCACCCAACTTCCCCATTTAACCCAAAGGTTAACTATCGACCCTACAGGACACGAATGGACAAACAGGGATCAAATTATAGAAGAGGAGAGTTTGATTTAAAATTTAAAGTTGCCATCACGTTTTGCGAGAAAATTCTACTTCAGTATGGAAAGCAATAATAGTATATTACAAAACGACATCTTGTCCTTAATTAAAGTGCTCAATTTCAGTTATGGTGGTACTTAATGCGTTTATTATAACCTCTAATAGTTCAGCTGTTGTTCTTTCAGGTGAATTTTCTATCAGATGGTTTTACTGTTGACCGAATGCAAATTCGAGCCCTGTTAACCCTGTTTCACACTCACTAATATCACCCATGTTATTGTTATTGTCATCAATAATAATAATAATAATAATAACTTTCAATTATAAACACATATCTGAAAAAGTTGGGGGGGGGGGGGGGGGAGACGGATACGCTTTGAAAGGTTGGAAAAGCTGTTCACGAATATTAAATCCAATTATAACCATTCTTCAGAGATTTCGAAGCGTTGGGTTCTGCAGACAGTTAAATGGAGTAAAAATCAAAAAAATGTTTTAAGTTGTTTTTCACCCAGAAATTAAATGTTGGAAAGGTGAAATGGCGAGCACTGTGAAACGACAAACCCTCCACGTTGTACACGATTAAACCTTAGGACATGAGTCCATCAACAATTCAGATTGCGACCGGAGTAAAATACCTTGAGTTCATTCAGAATATAACTCAGAGGTCATCTGCTAAACCAGCATTATAAATGACCTCAGAGCTACAACTTTAATTTCTCTACATGTGTCCTAACTGAGAATTTGGTCAAGAGGCTGGTATTTGTAACCATGAGTGTGTGGGAGGAAATATTTGCAACTGTGAGTAATCAGAGAGGGTCAAGACTAGAGCTACGCCAAGTGTTCTCTCCTCTACCCCCCCCCCCCCACCCCCCACCCTCTTCGTTAATCTGCAGTACAACACTGGGCAACTGAAAATGTGAACGTAAAGTCATGTATTTCACTTGGTTTAAATGTTAAAATGAATGAAAGTTTGCATAATTAATGTCACAGCCGTTATAAGCCTGCCATTTCAATGTTAACCACAAATGTGGTATTGACACTCGCATACACAATTTCACCTTCTGAAATGCCAATAATTAAACTGGTGTAGCCTCGAAACGTGAAAGGCAAAAATCAGATACGCAAAATAGACATTAGTTCTGTACTAAGGAAATTGTGTTCTAGCGTTGGCAAGGTGAGTCTTGTTTGCCTTCTAGGCAGACATGGTGACTTTTCACCAGCCGCATTGATACTCATACTTTTGATGATGCCAACAGCCGCGGTGATTTTCATGTAACGCACAGGAAATAGGCCAAGAAGGGGTGTGGGTGGGGAATTGGCGAAGGTTTCAAAGCACATTGTGGCCTTAGCAGCATCATGAAACACGATGAATTTGGAATTCTCTTTCAAAGGTACTCCCCTTATACCATGGCATTTTGGCATGCTGCAAAAATTTGATTTCATTTCCGACTTAACTATAATGTTATGGACGGGGACGGTCAATTTTATCCCTTCCAACTCCTACTCTCCTAGGGAGATGTATGGTCTCTAGGATGAAAAGATTCTCAGTGAGGGTCGTCCCTATATTTTAGACTCTATTCACTCTAATGTCGCTCAACATCTCTTCAAGTTTTGTTTCATTTGAACTAATTTGCCCCAAAATTGAAGACTTCAATTGGCTTTGCAATATAAAAATGTCTGCCTAACGAAATGCCCAAACTGGACTTAGAGGGTCCTCACTCCGATATTACTTCAACTGTTTTCTTAAATCATTTATCCTCTTTTTTTCTCACCTTTGTCGTTTATTAGTACAGTGCCTTGCATTCCGAGTTACTAAGCCATTAATTGATTTTCTCTGACTTTTGAGTGTGGTGTGTGCGATAGACCTACCTCCATGTGGTGCACCCTGGGCAACGTATAATCATACGGCAAAAAAGTCTATTAACCGGCAGTTGACTTCTGGCTTCTAACTATCATCACCCCACTGTATGTCATATTCGACCACTTCCACAGTACTCACCTCACCTTTTTTTCTACCCTTTCTACCTTCGTCTTTGAAACACTCTTCTGAAACATCGTCATCATTTCAGTTGAAAAGTTACAAGACAGTAACGCTTTCTCGCCCCACCCGCTACTTTATAATACTCCTCTGACAAGCCTTTCTTTAAGTAGTTCCCACCCCCTTTCACTTTTCATTCATCATGAGATTAAATGAACTTTGTCATCGATTTGTAGTTTAAAGTCCCCCAGGGTTGAGAAGTTGTTTAAAAGTCTCTTATGGCAGTGCGCGTATTATTTGTACTTGCATTGTGCATTTGAAGGCAGGGCTGTTCTCTTAATATTTGATGTCCTTTATGTTCGCCTTATTTAATAGCACTTGTGGAGATAATATTCTTCAAGCGTACATTCTTAACTCTCAATTAGCAATGCTATTTACAATATAGTGAAAACACAAAATAGTGTTTTGAGTGATGTGAGTTTAGGTCGAATGCAAAACATGATCAGTACGTATAAACCTAAACTTTGAAAGGGTAGTAATTTCCGGTTGACCCGATAGGCTTATTCAGACACAACACAGTTGCTCACAGCACGATCGATAACGCGACCTCACTTTCCAGAATATTCTAGAACGAGGGTGGCATTTCCTTGGTCAGTCCTGGTTGCAGTAAATAATTTCTAATACAATCATTTTCCCTACCATAAGCATTAAATATTATACTAAATGTACTGATGTAAAATAGTTCATAGATCGTATTTCAGACAACTCATATTTCCACTCAAAATAATTGGCTCAGAGAGTATCAATATATTATCTGGAAATATTTTTAAAACCCTCAACTTTTTGCGTTTTATGCAATAGGGAGTACTAATTGCTGTAGGTCTACTTTAATATTGCATCTAATTATTCACCCATATTCACCATTCAAAGAGCAGTCTAGGAGCAAAATGAATAAATAAAGGAACCTATTTCGACCAAAAGGCCGAATAAGGGAGGAGTAGCTGTTGGTGCAAGATTGTTGTGTGTGTATGTGTGTGTGTGCGTGTGTCAGCAGCTATACGGGTCAAGGGGTCATGATCGTATGCAACAGCGCGCAAGGACAGACTACTCGAGTTGCTTCTTATTCAAACCTATGGTCAATTGGAGCTTTCAAATCTAACTAAGATTAAAAAAACTCAGTATAGCATGTTATATCTCCCCCCCCCTCACATCTCACTTATTAGGAAAAGTTGAAAGGAACTTTTTACGTTTAAGAGTAAGTCAAAAAATTATTTTCTTAAAATGTGCAAAGATGAGGAATGTTGCCTTGGTGAAGTTAATCGGAGGTGAATTTGGAGTGATGGGGAGATTATTGTCGAGTGGAGAAGAGGAGAAAAGCCCAGTCGTCCACGCGAAATACAATAAAGCCCTGCTCTTGGTGTGTAACGTAGCTAAAAAAATGAGCAGCAAGATGATCATAACCTTGCTTCATAGTCATTCTTTTGACACAAAAAGTAAATCTCACAAGTCTATCCTGTGTTCTTCCTGCCAAATATGCGACTTAAATTCATTATTTGCAATTCTGATTCAAAATACTCTTCTTCCCTCAAATCGAATAGTTCAATGGCATATTTATTTTCAAAAAAGGCTTACTACACTTCTTTTACCTTGAAAGAAATGGCTTCTAACTTGTTCTGTCCATTCTGGGAAAAGGACTAGCTCTTATATGGTAATGCGACATTTAATGATTTTATGAATTTCGATACATGACTTTTTTTACTAGCATTTAGGCATAAAATTGTGCTTTGCTAAGCTAAAATAGCTAAGTAAACAGTTCAAAAATGCAAAAAAACAAGTTATTTATAGTTTACCTTGTGGGACACATCATAAATGACCAAATAGAAATCCTGCTATATAACCCCTACTCAGAATATTTTAGCTATTAATGTTCACACGATTGCTAGAGTTATCTGATGACTAATCGCTTTGCCAAACTCAACACTTCGCTATCAATATACGTACCGAATAAACGTATTCCGCGGTACACGTCTGCCTTTCTTATAGGTGGGCTATAGCTTAGCTTGTTTTGGGAGTCTAGCTAGATGTTGGAGAATCTGCCATAGATATAAACGCGCTCCGTGCTACACGTCTGTTTTCTTTATAGCTGAGCTATAGCTTAGCTGTTCTCTAGCTAGAGGTTGGAGAATCTGCCATAGAGATTTCTGATTCCTAGCTAGATGTTGGAGAATCTGCCATAGAAATTTCTGAGCCGGTAGCTAGATGTTTGAGAATCTGCCATGGAGATTTCTGAGTCGGTCTAGATGTAGGAGAATCTGCCAAAGAGATTTCTGAGTCAGGAGAATCTGCCATAGAGATTTCTAAGTCAGTCAGGCTTTACTTAGGGTGAGTCGGTCAGGCTTTATTAGAGTAGCGATCCGCTACAACCTAAATCCAGTTTGGCATAAACAAGGCTATTTGACATAATCGCAATTTAACACTTCTAATAGGCTCCTTTTCATTTATCAATCTTCAAACTCATTTAAAATAGCAATCAATAAACAATGCAAATTCGCTTAAAGCATTTGAAAATATTTGTTGAATAAGCGTTTAACAAAATATATTGAATTCACTGGAGTCTCTTGAGTGAAGTTAATCGAACAATTAAAAAAATAATTTCTAAATCTAATAAAGCTATATAAACTGTTCTAATATCCAAGAATCAGTTTGATTTAAAATCTTATCCACTATCAAGTTATCGGATTAATGTTCTACTCTGTGAAATCAGCATTTCAATGCTATTTTTGATCAAATAAATATGTAAGAAAGTAGACCGTCAGACTCATGTCCGAAGTAGTAACTTACCTGCCAAAATCTTTCCCAACAATACAATGCCACAATGGTCCATACTTATCGTCGAACCCTTTCTTCACATAAGCTGCAACATCCTTCCTAGTCGTGTTCTGTCTCAACGCTTCTTCGGCCATCTTGGCCGCAGAATTAATCATTTCCTCCGACATACGGACGCATTTGACAGTCACCTGTATTTCCTTGTTTTCCGGGCCTAGCAGAGGGAAAACTTTGTGTGTTCCATCTACAGGACTTCCTGGTGGCTCTGGATGACCAGTTGACCGACTTCTGTGTTTGTGCATTTTGGCAAAGTGGGGGAGAGAGTGTTGCTTCTGCTATTCTACGGATGCAATAAGAGTGCACAGAACTATCCAATACACTGATGCCCTTTGAGTAGGTAGTTAAGGGCAAGGTGAAGAGCTTTAAGAGTGGAAGACTGAGGACATCCCTTAAAAGTTCAAATCAGAAGAAGAATGTGAAAGATTTTAAGTATTAAGTGTGTGGCTAGCGAGTTTAAAAAAGATTAGAGAGATGTTTACTGTCCAGAAAAAGAATATTCAAAAATAAAGGAAACATTAAAATTCCCGAAAATTTTCAAATTTAATTTTTTTAAATTAAAGAGTTTATGAAAAACAGAGTATTGTTTACTCAAAACGACGTTGATGTGACTTATTTAATATTACCTAATTTGAATAAATTATTTTTTTTAAATGGCTTGGCCAGTTTAAGAGAACCTGTGGCTCGCAAGGAACTACCACGGCCGAACGAAGAAATCGCATGCACATTCAGACAGACTCGAAGGTGCGGCCGTGCTACTTGTCACGTAGGCGGCAAGTGCGTCGTGAGCGTAGAGACTGCCCAACCAACCACCAATCAATAGTAGCTGCATTGTTTAACAAACCCTTCATTGTATTCTAATGACTAAGCGCTTTGACAGCCATACAGCCTGGATAAAGGTGTTCACATCATGTGTCTCCTTCCGCTATAGTTTTAAGATTATCTTTCCATAGAGGTTTGTTTGTGCAACTTTAGTCAACAAAATTCTGCTATGAAACTCAAAAAACCGTTAGGTAGGTAGGCAAATTAAAAGGTCTAAGGGCCAAGCAATTTTAAAGAAAATGAAAACCATTAACTATATATTTTGATTTGCAAAAACTTTTTCAAAATAATGTTTCAAAATCTGCTGGAAAAAATGAAATTTACTTTTAACTTTGTTTTATTTTTGCGAATTTTGATTCAGGTTTTGAATTTGAGCGCTTTAATTGGATAGTTTAAACCTACAACAATGCTCTGAAGCAATTTAAATTGAGCAGTGGATATGAATTTAACTTTAATTGTTTTCCAAAAAGCGAGAATCAACTGCTTGATCCAATTTCAATACAGCCGTTAATTATCTTTGCTATGAGACATGCAATGATATTTTATTTTATCTTAAATTCGACAAGACAATCTGAATGGAAATTTTCAACACTATTTGGTTCCTTTTAAGGCCTCTAAAAATTAAATTATCAAATCTTTCGCAAAACGAGTCTTCTCAACGAAATCGAAGAGAAGTCAAACGTTTAGTTCATGCATGTTCCCAAGTCCTCGCCTCATGTTCCTTTTATCTTATTTTAGTAGTGAATGCACAATGATGTTGATGAACAAGGTCACTTTTTTGTGCTGATCAAGAAGAGTGGAGATGGAATGTAACTTCCTCATCTCGTGTTATTACTGAGTTCTAGTTTCTGAAAGCAATTATTTTGGCTTATTAGGTTTTAACAAAATCTCAATAACATCCAAAGGGAAAACCTATTGTTTATAATTATCTCGGCGGCATGGATAAATGCCAGGTCAGGTTACTTGTGCTTAGGAGGAAAAATTGATTCCGGTAATGTACCATCTGTTAAAGATGGGTGTCAAAGACAATTTTCCTTGAAGTGTTCTTGCCTGAGCAGTGGTTAGTTTGCTCTCTAATCAAATCGGGAGTCATATGGTGCATGCTCTTCCAGTTTTATTGTTGGAAAACCGCATCAACAGAATACTACCTTACCATGAGAAAGATCACTGTTTAGCCTCACTGAGCCAAGTTTGAAATTAGAAATTTCCTTTGTACTCTTTGGAAATTAGAAGAAATCCACACAATGATTTGTAATCACCCATAACTTTGGAAACTTAAATTGGTAATTGGCAAGTCAAGTAAAATGTTTTGAAGGCACTCTTAACAACCTCCATTACAATTTTGAAAAAAAATGAAAACTGAAATGTGAGTTGAAGTTGATTTGTACATCTTCAAAAATTGTTTTATAATTATCTATAGGGATTACTATAGAACTCAGCCCCTGACTAAACCATAGTAATCCTCTTTGAATCTCACGTAACTGCAGACACCATAGAACAAGCCTCTAGTAGAGTCATTTGGTACAATGGTCCCCCAAAATTAGCTTCGGCCAAGTTGTAACAACTAAGAGAACAACCTGTGGGGAGTGTTTGCAGGGAACGCTTAATGCTAGTGAACGTTGTTAGCTCTACACTGCACGAATCCTGATCTCTGATTGGCTGGGAAACCTCTGGAATCTTGCAAACACTGGCTTAACATCCAGTACCACAAATACACTTCCCAGAATGTGCAATATCCCATTGGTCATATCGTTGTACACATACTTTGCTTTGTCACGGTCGAAAAGTATGGACAAAATGTATAAATATTCAAAATCACGATCGTTTGCAATATTGCAAGCTTGACTCTAAGGGATCTACTAAAGCTGTGTTAAATTCTACTTAGTGAACGAAATACACCGAAAAAAGGTATTGAGTAAATATGGCACATGTGTGAGATGATTTATGTATCAAAGTTCAAGCAGGTTCTTATCCTTCTATTGGTTCACTGAGAAGTCTCCCCGGGCCATTGAGATGTTGAGAATGGCTTCTTGCACAGGCTTATTTATGCGAAATGAGTGTCTGGCTGACTGACGAATTTACAGCAACAGCTTTGGTGGCAATAGCTGATGCAACTCGGAAATGCTCCAACCCAAAAGATGTGGCCGCACTGATCAAAGCTCAAATAGAGAATCACTACGAGGGCGCATGGCAGGTTATAGTGGGAAAAGACTTTGCCAGGTGAGTTTAAAAGTTTTTCCTTCAACCATGGATCTGTATGACCATGCTTTGTTATCAAGAGTTCATTGCCCGTGCTGGTACAGTGGTAGGCATTGCAAATCGCATTGGCCGCTAAATTCAAGTTTCACGCCAGGGTAACTTCATCATCTACCTTATTCAAAAGAAAACTGTTTAACTTGCTATTTCTTATGTATTTGACCAACCGCCAGAGTGGGCTGTTTTGTCATCCAATGAAGTGATTTTATCTGACACTTTTGATTGCTTGAATCCATTTGTGTTAGCATCGGTCTTAATGGAATAGTATCTCTTAAGCTAACAAGATGGAATAAAACCATTTTGTAAATTGTAATTTCCGTCAAATCACCCTTAAACCTTGAGCACAATTTATAAAGGAATCGTTCACAATTTATCTCAATACAAATTTGTTTAAGGGCAAAAAAATCCACCTTGTAACTGAAACTCGGTAACTCCATACTTTTCCGTTTGTTGGTCTGAAGTCTTTGACACGATTACTAATCTACCCACTTAATTAAAGCTAGGAGGATAAGATATACCGGTTTCTTCTAGTAACAATCCCGACAACCATCTGAGACGGTTAACTTAAGGATGTAATAAAATACTTGGTACCTCCCTGAAAATTGACTTTAATTCCTACATAAATTATTTATTTATATCAAATGGCAGGCGTTTTGATTGTTATCATTAACCATTTAGTTGACTTCAGGCTCCACAGAGGGAAGGAACATCAAAGTGACAAAAGGTGAGATAGGGGGGAGGGGGACAGAAGTGTTTCATAGATGTAAAAGAGGCCGACGCGAAGGTTAAAAAGGTGAGGTGAGTACTGTGAAAGTAGTGGAATATGACATAGAGTGGGGTGATGGTA